CTTGCGCTTGCTCTGGGTAGCGGGTTCTCAAGTGTATGCATGTACGTAATCCGTAACTCTGAAAATTTGTGCGTTAGGTAAATTATACGTCAGTTGAACAACATATAAACATAAAACTGAAGCAGAAGTATTAAAAAAAAAAAAAAAAAAGGTGGGCAAGAGGACGAGAATAGCCTGAGGACTTGAGCCAGCTTCCTATCCCGTCTGCCGTTTCCGTGTATGGATGGGAATTGGGAAACTTGCCTTTCCTTGTTCTGGGAAGTGGCGCTTTGATCTTGTTACAGAAGACTTTTTAATTTCTGCAGAAAGGGATGTGGAACAAGTTGAGAAGCTATTGGAAGAGCTAAAAATGATTAAGTTATTTCTGATGATGCTTACCATGATCTAGGAGCCCTGGTGGCGCAGTGGTTAAAGCGCTCGGCTGCCAACCGAAAGGTCGGCCGTTCGAACCCACTACCCGCTCCATGGAAGAAAGATGTGGCAGTCTGCTTCCGTAAAGATTACAGCCTTGGAGAACCTATGGGGCAGTCCTCCTCTGTCCGACTGGGTGGCTGAGTCTGAATGGACTTGACAGCAGCGGGTTTCGTTTTCTGCGTTTTATCGTGATTTATCCACTCTGCTAGTTTAATCTATCCCTTACTGGAGGCTCTGTCAAAGCAGAGAACTCAGAGATGCATGGACAGGGTGTTTTGGAGGACACTTGTGAGTGAGCTGAGGGACCTGAAATTTAGATTTGCTCCCTGCAGATAACTCTTGGCCGCCCCAGGCCTCAGAACAAGGCAAGTTTATGGGAGAGGACAGAGTTATGCAATTCTAGGTTGGCCTGCCTCTATAATAAAGGTTATACTTCTCTTTTTCCTTGTTTAAGTAGAGAATTGCTTTATAACTCTTCTTTGCCACCACTTTGCCTTAGATAAGAGCCCAGGTGGCGCAGGCTGCTAACCAAAAGGTCTGCAGTTTGAATCCACCAGCCACTCCTTGGAAACGTTTTGAGGCACTTCTACTCTGTCCTACAGGGTCGCTATGAGTCAAAATCAACTCAACAGCAACGGGCTTTTTTTTTCTTTCTTTTTTTTTTTTTGCCTTAGATAACTGAGTATGTCAGTCTGAACTCTGATAGCATGTTTCCCTTCTGTGCAGTGATGCCCTGTCGGATAATGTCGCCTTGCTTTGCTCGGTGCTTCTGTGGGTCCTAGCTGCACATTGACCTTCCCGTGTTGATTTGTCAGTTTGCTCTAACAGCCGTTACCTTGATTGTTCACTCTTCCCTTGCTCTTAGGACAATTGTTTAGTGAGCACAGAACAGAAGCAATAGAAGATTCCAGGCTCATGTGTGAGCTGGGCTGAGCGGGGGAATGAGCCCTATATCATGGGAGATTACATTTTGTGGCTATAATTATATAGTGCTTTTTTTCCTCAAAGGATTTATCTAGCCTGGAATTCATTTGATCTTCACTATCCCTGTGAAGTAGGTAGGACAAGTATGAGGGGGGATGTCGGGTGCTGAAACTGTGGGCCAAAGACTGATGTTAATGCAAACCATCTACCGACCGGAAACCTGGGCATATCCGTGAACCACTCGGAACGTCGCTGTCCTCATCTGTTAAATGAGAAGGATTTCTGTGCTGCCTACCTCGTGGGGTTGTTGTGAGGGACAAATGAATGTATGTGAAAGAGTTGTCAGTGATAAAGCGCTGTACACTTGATAGTTAAAAAAGAGAGAGAGAGAGAATTGCTTCATGAAGGTTCAAGTTTAGGTTCCAGAGTTCTGGCTGAAAATGGAGATGGGAAAACTGCAGACCTTTTCTGTGGCCAGTACAATCAGATACCTACCCTGACCTCTCAGAAAACTCTCAGCCACCTCCTGACTTCATCAGGAGCTTACAGAAGCCAGTCGTTAGCAAATGTTTGCCAAGATGAATGAATTCATGTTTCTAATTCTGACGGAGCCACCTTATCCTTAAATCCTAAGGAAACTGAGGCCAATTTTTACAATAAAGGGGGGTTTTTCTTGAAATACCGGCTTTTATATGATGTTTTCTGTTCTCACGGGTAAACCGTTAATTCTAGACCAACCAAGGAGCCCTGATGACACAGTAGTAAAAGTGCTTGGCTGCTAGCTGAAAGGTCAGCAATCGACTCGACGGCAGTGGGCTTCTTCTGTTTTTTTGGTTCTAGACCCACCAATGGTAGCATGTTAGTATAATGCAGAGGGGTCCCTGGGTGACGTAATGCTTTATGTTGGATGACCAGCCTAAGGAGCCCTGGCGGCATAGTGGTTAAGCATTTGGTTGCTAACCAAAAGGTCAGCGATGCGAACCCACTAGCCACTCTGTGGGAGAAAGATGTGGCAGTCTGCTTCCATAAAGAATCCACCAGCTGTTCCCTGGAAACCCTATGGGGCAGTTTTACTCTGTCCTGTAGGGTCACTATGAGCTGGAATGGACTCGACAGCAATAGTCTTTTTGTTTTGTTTTGTTTTTTTTACTAACCTAAAGGTTAGTGGTTTGAATACACGCTACAGCACCGTGCAAGAAAGGCCCGGTGATATGCTTCCATAAAATTTCCTGTTGCCATCATGCTGATTCCGACTCACAGCCACCCTATAGGACAGAGTAGAACTGCTCCATAGGGCTTCCAAGGCTGTAATGTTTACGAGAGCAGACTGCCACATCTTTCTCCTATGGAGCAGCTGGTGGGTTTGAACCACTGAGCTTTTGGTTAGCAGACAAGCACTTAACCAGCGTACCTCCAGGGCTCCTTATTCTGTAAAGATTACAGCCAGGAAAACCCCACGGAGCAGTTCTACTCTAATACATGGGGTCGCCATGAGTCGGAATCCACTTGACTGCAGCCAGTTGGTGTTTGGTGGTATAAACCAAACCAACTGTCGTTGAGTCGATTCCGACTCATAGCAACCCTACAGGACAGAGTAGACCTACCCCATAGAGTTTCTAAGGAGCAGCAGGTAGATTCAAACTGCCAACTTTTTGGTTGCAGCCGTAGCTCTTAACCACTACACCACCAGGCTTTCCCTTAGTAGTATAATCTGAACTAAATTACTTTCACTAATGATTTAAAGGGAATGTTAGCCGTATGGTATTGTGTTGTCCTTAATGCTACAAAGTTGACATTGAAAGAACAAGCATTTTCCTCATTCATTCGGACACATTGGCAGTTATGTTTGTGGGTTATTGTCTTTTCCCCTCATTCCCTTTGTTTCCCGTGCAAAAACAAAAAGCTGTAAGAAAATTATCTGAAAATACAAACTCGTGGACTAGAGACAGGATAAGAAGTCCATGCATCTACCTTTGCTCCCCCCTGAAACCCCACCAAAACAATAATAACAGGATTTTTCAAAGGCATAAACTACTAGGATGGGGGTCAGGAGAGGAGAAGAAAGCAATAAAAGCTAGGAAGCAGATGGTCAGGTGCTAAAGGGGTTAGTGTATTCAAGAGAGCTGAATTCTAAACCAGCATTGGAGAAAGCTTATACGCAACCCTGTTTGCGTTGTAAAAACCAGTGACTTTCCAGTCCTTAACCATTTGCAGGGACTTCCATTTGCATTATAAAAAACGCCATTGACGTCCAGTCCCATTCCGACTCATAAGGACCCTATAGGACAGAGTAGAACTGCTGCATAGAGTTTCCAAGAAGTGCCTGGTGGATTTGAACTGCTGACCTTTTGGTTAGCAGCCGTGACACCTTTAACCAGGGTTTCCATTTGCAGTATAGAAGCCCCCAAAGTCTCAGGAATTAGCAGTACCGAGTACTTCTGGGAGATAGAAGTGTATGGTTGAAAGTAGGAGAATTGCTTGAAACTCTGGGTTCAGGAAAGGCTAAATCTACACATATCTTTTTCCATTCCTTGCCGCCAGGTGCTTGCACCTCCCTGGACCAGCAGACCTATGGGGGCTTATTCCCTGGAGAGGATAAAACAGAGTCTCTAGACTAGGGTAGCTATGAGTTGGAATCAACTTTATGGCAACGGGTTTGGTGTTTTTTTTTTGTTTTTGGTTTAGTCTAGGAAGATACACTGCACAGTTGCAGGTAGGAGAGTTCCTTTTCCTTCGCCTTGCACTTGAGTGGAACAGCTCCATAGGGGTTTCAAGGCTGTGACCTTCAGAAGTAGATTGCTAGGCCTTCTTTCTTCTCAGAAGGTAGGACAAGCAGAGGAAGAGATGGAAACTAGATTAAATATGAGAAATTTAGACACCCGTTCGGAGGTCCTACAGCCACGTAATAGGGGTTCCAAAAAGAATGATGTAAATTATCACCTAAAAATTCAAGGATTTTTTTCCAGAATTGAAAGATGTGGGCTTCTAGATTAAAATAACGCTTCTAGTGGATGAAAATAGACCCAAAATAAGGCATAGGATGATGAAATTGCAGTAACTAGGAACAAGGAAAAGCTTCCAGAGAGGAAAAAAAAGGTCACACAGAACATATTAGGATCAGAATGTCTTTGGACTCAAGCAGTGACTCTGGAAGCTAGAAAACAATGGAGCAATTTCTTCAAAATTATGAGCGAAAATGGTTTCTAACCAAGAATTCTGCACCCAGCAAACTGTAAATCAAAGATCAAACCAAAAATCAAACCCGTTGCCACTGAGTCGATTCCGGCTCATAGTGAACCTGTAGGACAGTAGAACTGCCCCATAGGGCTTCCAAAGCTGTAAATCTTTCCAGAAGCAGACTGATGCATCTTTCTCCCATAGAGCGGCTAGTGAGTTCAAACTGCTGACCTTTTGTTTAGCAGCCGAGTGCTTAGCCACTGCACCACTGGGCCTTCTTAAATCCAGGATAGAGTATAGAATAATGATACTTTCATGCATATGCAGTTGCAAAAAATCTTTTCTCCCTTGCATCCTTTCTCAAGAAGCTGCTAGAGTTTGCCTCACCAAAAGGAAAGTGGAAACCAAAGAAAAGGGAAAACATATGGGATAAATGAAATGCGAGATTCAGCAAAGGAGAAGGGGGAATCCCTGGGGTGGAGATCGAGAGAGATCCCAGGATGCTAGCTGTGCACCAGGAGTGGAGAGCAGCCGGGTCAGAAGGTTTCCGGAGAGGCTTCTCCAAGAAGATGGCCTTGACAGAGTATGTGATGACTGAAGGATTGCGAACATATTTATAGGAGAGTTGGAAAACTGGCAGCGCTTAGCGTTGAGTTGGTGTTAGGTACCAAAAACAAAAAACGCAAACCATTGCCGTGGAGTCGATTCCAACTCCTAGCGACCCTAGAAGACAGAGTAGAACCACACCATAGGGTTTCCAAGGAGCGGCTGGTGGATTTGAACTGCTGACCTTTTGTTTAGCAGCCAAGATCCTAACCACTATGCCACCAGGGCTCCAGTGATAAGTACAGAGGCAGCTGAATAAATGAAAAAACAAGACAGTTACTAACTTCAGGGGGAAAGAAGTTGTATAGAAAAGGAAAAGTAATCATAGACTATGACGTGGTTACCTGTGAATAGCGTTTACCGAGTCATAATAATGCACACCCCAAATACTATCTAATCAAAAGTACGATCTTGATCTAACTATATCGGAAGGATAAGAAAAATGAAAAGGGTGGTGTGTGTGTGTGTGTGTGTGTGTGTGTGTGTGTGTGTGTGTTGGGGAGTTGAAAGAGCTAAATGCTTATCTTCTATAAACCAAACAAAACTCAAACCCGATGCCATTGAGTTGATTCCAACTAGTGGCAAGCCCATGTGTTACAGAGTAGAACTGCTCAGTAGGATTTTCTTGGCTGTAATTAACAGACGCAGATCACCAGCCCTTTCTTCCGCAGTACCACCGGGTAAGTTCGAAGTGCCAACCTTAGGTTAGTAGTTGAGTGCGAACCATTTGCACCACTTAGGGCCTCTGTGCTACCTAAAAGTGAAAAGGAGATGCAAAGCAAGCACGCTGTTTTGAGAGCTAGAGATAGGTTTCCAGCTTATCCTAAAAGAGTTAAAGGTCGTTGCCTCTCACTGGGAATGGAGACTGCTGTTTTCATAACAGCCTTGTTGAACGAATGGACCCTTTAAACTGTGTGCAATATAACACTGATAAAAACTAAAAATTCAAAAGAAATTGAAAAATTGGAGATTATGTGAGCCGAGAAAAAAATTCTAAGCTTACAAAAGTTATACACTGTGGAGTGCCCGCTCATTTTTTTGTCCTCCCTTTTTTAAAAACTTAAATCCAACTCCTTTACTTTAATGTAAGATATAATACAGTTTATTTAAAGATCTATCCTAATATGTAATAGAAGGTAACCATCCGACTTGCTGGAAAGTAAATTTTTCTGTGGCTTTTCCTTGGCTGTGGAAATGTTTTTAAAAGCATACTGCTAAGGATAGGTTGTTGCTGTTTTCATTTAATCATCAGCAGAACTGCAGTACCCTTAAATGACAACATTGAAATATTTTTCAGGTAGGCATTGGTGGCATCTGCTTGCGAGGCAAAGGGGTCTACAAAACTATGAATCATCCAAGAACTTCACTTGAAACTAAAGAGTACCCTGATACCGAGATACAAAAAAATCAAGTACTGTCTCTGGAAGAATGGCAAGAAAAATGGGTGAACCACAATATTCCATTTCACCAAGAAGAAGGACATCAGTAAGAACTATTTCTATATAACAAAGAAATGCTCTATCAAAAGCTGACTTTGGGAATAGAAATATTATTTGACTGATTCTAAGATGCACATCCTTCTCCCTCTCCTCCCCCCCACATTTTAGCACCTATGAGATCAGAGACGTGTCTTTGTGAAATTGGCGGTGTTTTCTCTTCTCACTGTGTGTTAATAATGATGTGACTTCAATTGCTGGCATCTCAGATTTATGAAATCTGTTTTTTGTTTAATCCCCTGGATCATCTATATATGAGTCACGTTTATATGTATAACAGATGTTCAAGCAATGTTTATGCGGAATATTGCCCTTTATACTAAAAAATGGTGCTGTTCTGGCTTTGCTTCCCAATAGTAAAGGTTCAGATGTTAACGTGGTATCTATGGGATGGAAGAAGAGAAGTTGAGAGAAAATGGTCATTGAGCTAAAATGTCAAGCAATATCAATAGCAGTGGTTTGTGTAGCAGGAACGATAAACTACGGAGCCAGTCCTGAAACAAGCAGTCCTTACAGACTTCCCTTGTTCCCGGGCAGTTCCCAGGGACATGATTATGACATTCACACGCTGAGCGTTAGATGGAGCGTCACACCAGAACCGCTGTAGGGTCCTCTCTCTCATGGGTCTGGCTTTAGAAGAGCCGCGTCTCTACAGAAGGCATGAACTACAAGAATTAAACTCTTCAGAGCTACTTCCAGGACCTGAGTACACGTTTAGAGAACTTAGCTTAAAATGAACGTTGGGAAACTCATGGGTCCTGCGATCCCCTCCTCACACACCCCCCAAAAGTATACATTTGGGGAATTAATAAAGAATTTTTAAAACCTATCATCAGCCAAGGAAAAAAAATGTTGTTGTTGTTTTTTGAATTACTGATCAGGAAAGCCTTGGGTTGAATCAGTTTTACCAGTGGCTGGCTCTGTGACTTCAGTTTACTTAACGTTCCTGTTTCTTCATAAGCTGGAGACTGTAATAATTAATATTGTCTACTCCTTGAGGTTGTTGAAATATTAAGTGAGATCATGCAAGAGAAGTACTTAGCATCATGCAGTCATAACCTTTTCCTCTGAGCTCTGGGCTTGTTAACCAAAAAAGCAAACAACTTTTTTTTTTTTTCTCGCAGGCTACTGAAGAAGCATTTGGATACTTTTCTTAATGGCAGAAGTAAACTCAGGGTATTTTTCCCTCTTTGTGGAAAAGCGGTTGAGATGAGATGGTATGAGCAGATAAGTATTAATACACTTTCTGGCCTTGCTGATGAATTATTTGGGTGAATATTTAACCGAGTATAAGTTAAGAAATCTCATCCTGAGGAATTACATGGAGATTTTTTATTGCTGGCACAGTGGTTAAGAGCTTGGCTGCTAACCAAATAAGGTCAGCAGTTAGAATCCACGAGCCACTCCTTGGAAACCCTATGGGGCAGTTCTGCTCTGTCCTATAGGGTCGCTATGAGTCAGAATCGACTCGACGGCAACGGGTTTTTGTATTACTGAAGAAGGGAGCCCTGATCCTGCAGTGGTTAAGCACTGGACTGCTAACCGAGAGGTCAGCGGTTCAAACCCACCAGAAGGATGTGGCAATCTGCTTCTGTGAAGACTAACAGCCTTGGAAACCGGATAGGGCAGTTCCTGTGGGGTCACCATGAGTCAGAATCGACTCACCGGAAATGAGTTTGGCTTTGGTATCACTGACGAGTGCGTAATGAGAGACCGTATTCTCAAAGAGTAAAACATGGAGCAGAAGCAGAAGTGTGACCTAGCCTTTCCGTAGTGAGTGTCAAAGAAAGTGGACTCGTTGGAAACCGATGGACGAGAAAACCAGCCTTCCCTCTTACAGCTCCTAGATGTGTGCTTTAGCTTTTGTGGTTAGAGTTTTAGCTAAAGTAATTTTAGCTCTTTGAAATGGAGGAGGGCTGAAAAATTCGAAATGGGTCGTAACTTTTGAGCAGGACAATGTATCTAGGTCCACAGTTCAGCTCAACTCCCCGCACTAGCAGGTAAATGGCTTTGTTAACCTGAGTCATTGTTATAAAACTAGTGCTGGAAAAAGTGTTTCTTGTGAATAATTCTCTATGACAAGAATTCTCTTTAATTAACAAGCCACAATTACTGTAAAAAACAAAACCAAACTGGTTGCCACTGAGTCAGTTCCGACTCACAGCGACCCTATAGGACAGAGTAGAACCATCCTGTAGGGTTTCCAAGGAGCGGCTGGTGGATTCGAACTGCTGACCTTTTTGGTTAGCAGCTGAGCTCTTAACTGCTGCACCACCCAAATAACATACCTGGAAATCTCTTTCGACATAGAAGTCTGTTGAAATGATAGTGTACATATTAATGTAAACGCCAAGACATAGCTTTAGTTTTAAGCTTTAATGTTGAGAACTTTGATCATGAGGCAGAAAGGGAAAACAAAGGGTAGAAAATGTAACTTTTAAAATGTTCTGTTTCTTATATAAGTACAGGCTGACTAACTGCCTGAATATGCATAAACTTGGAGTTAATTTTGAAGTGGAGATGGTGATATTTTTGCAACCAGCCCACACTACATCCACTTGTAGCATTTGTTAGATGGCTGCTGTGGCTTAGATTGTCCTGTGGCCATGAACTTGAAAAAGTGTAAACCGTATTATTAAACTTCTGGAGCCCTGGTGGCACAGCGGTTCAGAGCTCAGGCTGGTAACCAAAAGGTCGGCAGTTCGAATCTACCAGCCACTCGTTGGAAACCCTATGGGGCAGCTCTACTCTGTCCTATAGGGTCGCTATGAGTCGGAATAGACTTGATGGCAATGGGTTTGGGTTTTTTTTGTTTGTTTGTTTTATACCTTAACCAGCTCGCTGAACCAGAAGAAAAAGCCTGCAAGAAAAGTATTAACTTTTTAAATAAACTGTCTTCCAGTGACATCATATAGTGCTGTCATACCTGGTAGAAATCCAGCTCCAGCAAAGGTTTTGGTTTTTGTTTTTATTGTTGTAATTAAATGAAGTGTACATTTCAAGTTAGTCTCCCATACAGAATTTTTTTTTTTTTTTACATACATTGTTATGAGACCCCAACTGCTCACCCCATTCTGCGACAGCACACTCCTCC